AGATTTTTTGTATTTCTGGAGGATTTTTTGGGGGATTTTTTTTTTGAATTTTTGGGGGATTTGGGGGGGATTTTTTGGGATTTTTTTGGTTTTTTTTTAATTTTTTGGGATTTTTTGGGGGGATTTTTTTTGAATTTTGGGGGGATTTTTTGGGAATTTTTGGGGGATTTTTTTGGGCTTTTTTGGGAATTTTTTGGGGATTTTTTGGGATTTTGTTTTATTTTTGGAGGATTTTGGGGGGATTTTTTTTTTGAATTTTTGGGGGATTTTTTGGGGATTTTTTGGGATTTTTTGGGATTTTTTTTTTATTTTTTGGGAATTTTTGGGGGAATTTTTTTTCAATTTTGGGGGGATTTTTTGGGAATTTTTTGGGATTTTTTTTTATTTTTGGGAATTTTGGGTGGGAATTTTTTTGAATTTTGGGGGGATTTTTTGGGAATTTGGGGGGATTTTTTTTTTTAATTTTTGGGGAATTTTTGGGGACTTTTTTGATTTTTGGGGGGATTTTTTGGGGGATTTTTTTTTTTATTTTTTTTTAATTTTGGGGATTTTGGGGGTATTTTTTAGGATTTTTTGGGAGGAATTTTGGGGGATTTTTTTTTAATTTTTGGGGAATTTTTGGGGACTTTTTTGATTTTTGGGGGTATTTTTTTGGGGTATTTTTCTTGGATTTTTTTTTAATTTTTGGGGATTTTGGGGGGATTTTTTAGGATTTTTGGGGAATTTTGGGGGATTTTTTTTTTAATTTTTGGGGAATTTTTGGGGACTTTTTTGATTTTTGCGGGGATTTTTTGGGGGATTTTTTTTGGATTTTTTCTTTGAATTTTTGGGGATTTTGGGGGGATTTTTTAGGATTTTTTGGGAATTTTGGGCAATTTTGGGGGGATTTTTTTTTGAATTTTTAAGGTAATTTTTGGAGATTTTGGGTGATTTTTTTTTTTATTTTTGGGGGGTTTTTTAGGGAATTTTGGGGGATTTCTTGGAATTTTTTTTGAATTTTCGGAGATTTTTTGGGGAATTTTTAGGGTAATTTTTGGAGATTTTTGGTGATTTATTTTTATTTTTTGTGGAGGTTTTTAGGGAATTTTGGGGGATTTTTGGTGAATATTCCACTGGAAATTCCTGGAGATTTTTGAATTTTTGGGGAATTCTGTAGAATTTTTCGGGTATTTTTTTTTTGAACTTTCACCAGATTTTTTTGGGGAGGTTTTGGACAATTTTGGGAATTTTTTTTTTTGGGTGGGGGAAGGATTTCTGGGAATTCTTTTTTCACCTAAACCAAAAATTGTCCCCACAGCTCCGGGATTGTCCCCAAAATTGTCCCTCCTGGTGGCCCTGGCGGTGCTGGCGCTGCTCCTGGGGCTCCTCCTCTTCATCTTCGGCCTCAGACGCTACCTGAGCACAGGTGACATCGAGGGGACACTTGGGGACATCTTCTGGTGGCACTTCCTGTCACTTTCTGTCCATTTTTACCTATTTTTATATATTTTATGATTTTTTTTACCCTTTTTTGTCTTTTTCTGTCACTTTTTTCTGCTTTTTTGTCCTTTTTTTGTCATTTATTGCCATTTTTTGTCATTTATTGCCATTTTTTGTCACTTTTTGTCCCTTTTTTGTCATTTATTGCCATTTTTTGTCATTTATTGCCATTTTTTGTCATTTATTGCCATTTTTTGTCATTTCTTATCCTTTTTTGTCATTTATTGCCATTTTTTGTCACTTTCTGTCCCTTTTTTGTCACTTTCTGTCCATTTTTATCTATTTTTGTCTCTTTTATGCTGTTTTTTTACCCTTTTTTGTCTTTTTCTGTCACTTTTTGGTGCTTTTTTGTCCTTTTTTTGTGCCTTTTTTGTCGTTTATTGCCTTTTTTGTCACTTTTTGTCCCTTTTTTGTCACTTTTTGTCCATTTTTTGTCACTTTCTCTCCATTTTTACCCATTTTTATATATTTTATGCTGTTTTTTTACCCTTTTTTGTCTTTTTCTGTCACTTTTTGGTGCTTTTTTGCCCTTTTTTTGTGCCTTTTTGTGCCTTTTTTGTAATTTATTGCCATTTTTTGTCACTTTTTGTCCCTTTTTTGTCATTTATTGCCATTTTTTGTCACTTTTTGTCCCTTTTTTGTCATTTATTGCCATTTTTTGTCACTTTTTGTCCCTTTTTTGTCATTTATTGCCATTTTTTGTCACTTTTTGTCACTTTCTGTCCATTTTTATCTATTTTTGTCTCTTTTATTCTGTTTTTTCACCCTTTTTTGTCTTTTTCTGTCACTTTTTGGTGCTATTTTGTCCTTTTTTGTGCCTTTTTGTCTTTTTTTTGTGCCTTTTTGTCCCTTTTTTGTGCATTTTTGTCACTTATTTTTTTTGTCCTTTTTTGTGCCTTTTTGTCTTTTTTTTGTGCCTTTTTGTCCCTTTTTTGTGCATTTTTGTCACTTATTTTCCATTTTTTGTCACTTTTTCTCCTTTTTTTCACTTTTTCTCCCTTTTTTGTTGATTTTTTCACCCTTTTTCCCATTTTTGTCCCTTTCTGTCCCTTTTTTTTGCCTTTTTCTCCTTTTTTTATCACTTATTTTCCAATTCTTGTCACTTTTTCTCCTTTTTTTCTCCCTTTTTTATCCCTTTTTACCTTTTTTTGTCCCTTTTTGGTCCTTTTTTCTCCTTTTTTTCCCCTTTTTCCCACTTTTATCCCTTTTTTGATGCTTTTTTGTCACTTTTTACCATTTTTTTATCCTTCCCCCCCTTTTTTCTCCTTTTTTCTCCTTTTTTTCCCCCTTTTCCCCACTTTTATCCCTTTTTTCCCCATTTCTTCCCCCTTTTCCCCCCTTCTTATCTCATTTTTCTCCCTTTTCACCCTTTTTTATCACTTTTTCCCCATTTCCCCCCATTTTTTCTCCCTTTTTCTTGCTTTTCTGTCCCTTTTTCCCCCTTTTTTTATCCTTTTTAATCAATTTTTGACCGTTTTTATCCATTTTTGCCCCATTTTCTCCCTCCAGGTTACACCCCTCTCCCCGGTGACACCCAGGCAGGTGAGACACCCCCAATCTCACCATTTTTTGTCACTTTTAGGTCACTTTTGTCACTTTTTTTAACCTTTTTTTATCATTTTTCATTCCCAGGCAACATCTGAGGATCCTCCCGGGACGGGGCCTGAAAATCCCGAAAAAATCCCAAAAATCCGCCCCAAAAAAACCACAAAAATCCTCAATTTTGACCCAAATCCTGCTCAAAAATCTCCCTCAAATCCAGTTAAAAATCCCCCAAAAATCCCGCTTAAAAAAACCCAAAAATTCCATTAAAAAACCCCAAAAACTTGCCTCAAAAAGCCAAAAAAATCCCCAAAAATAACAATAAAAACAAAATAAATCCTATTTAAAAAAAAACCCCAAAAATCCTCAAAAAGCCCCAAAAATCCCATTTAAAAAATCCAAAAATCCCCTCAAAAAGCCCCAAAAATCCAAAAGAAATCCCATTTAAAAACCCCAAAATCCCATTAAAAAAAAACCCAAAATCCCCTCAAAAAGCCCCAAAAATCCCATTTAAAAAACCCAAAAATCCCCTCAAAAAGCCCCAAAAATCAAAAAAAAATCCATTTAAAAAACACCAAAATCCCATTAAAAATCGCCCCAAAATCTCCTCAAAAAACCCCAAAAATCCCAAAAAATCCCATTAAAAAAAACCCCAAAAAATCCCCACAAAAAGCCTCCAAAATCTCAAAAAATCCCATTAAAAAACCCAAAAATTCCATTTAAAAAAACTCCAAAAATCGCCTCAAAACCCCCCAAAAAATAACATTAAAAACCCCAAAAAATCCCATTAAAAATTCCCGAAAAAATCCCAAAAATCCGCCCCAAAAAAACCCCCAAAAATCCTCAATTTTGACCCAAATCCTGCTCAAAAATCTCCCTCAAATTCAGTTAAAAATCCCCCAAAAATCCCGCTTAAAAAACCCCAAAAATTCCATTAAAAAAACCCCAAAAACTTGCCTCAAAAAGCCAAAAAAATCCCCAAAATTAACATTGAAAACAAAAAAAATCCTATTAAAAAAACCAACCAAAAATCCTCAAAAAGCCCCAAAAATCCCATTTAAAAACCCCAAAAATCTCCTCAAAAAGTCCCCAAAAATCAAAAAAAAATTCCATTTAAAAAACACCAAAATCCCATTAAAAATCGCCCCAAAATCTCCTCAAAAAACCCCAAAAATCCCAAAAAATCCCATTAAAAAAAACCCCAAAAAATCCCCACAAAAAGCCTCCAAAATCTCAAAAAATCCCATTAAAAAACCCAAAAATTCCATTTAAAAAAACTCCAAAAATCGCCTCAAAACCCCCAAAAAATAACATTAAAAACCCCAAAAAATCCCATTAAAAATTCCTGAAAAAATCCAAAAAATCCGCCCCAAAAAAACCCCAAAAATCCTCAATTTTGACCCAAATCCTGCTCAAAAATCTCCCTCAAATCCAGTTAAAAATCCCCCAAAAATCCCACTTAAAAAAACCCAAAAATTCCATTAAAAAACCCCAAAAACTTGCCTCAAAAAGCCAAAAAAATCCCCAAAAATAACATTAAAAACAAAATAAATCCTATTTAAAAAAAACCCCAAAAATCCCATTTAAAAAACCCAAAAATCCCCTCAAAAAGCCCCAAAAAATCAAAAAAAATTCCATTTAAAAAACACCAAAATCCCATTAAAAATCGCTTCAAAATCTCCTCAAAAAACCCCAAAAATCCCAAAAAATCCCATTAAAAAAAACCCCAAAAAATCCCCACAAAAAGCCTCCAAAATCTCAAAAAATCCCATTAAAAAACCCAAAAATTCCATTTAAAAAAACTCCAAAAATCGCCTCAAAACCCCCAAAAAATAACATTAAAAACCCCAAAAAATCCCATTAAAAATTCCTGAAAAAATCCCAAAAATCCGCCCCAAAAAAACCCCAAAAATCCTCAATTTTGACCCAAATCCTGCTCAAAAATCTCCCTCAAATCCAGTTAAAAATCCCCCAAAAATCCCGCTTAAAAAAACCCAAAAATTCCATTAAAAAACCCCAAAAACTTGCCTCAAAAAGCCAAAAAAATCCCCAAAAATAACATTAAAAACAAAATAAATCCTATTTAAAAAAAACCCCAAAAATCCTCAAAAAGCCCCAAAAATCCCATTTAAAAAATCCAAAAATCCCCTCAAAAAGCCCCAAAAATCCAAAAGAAATCCCATTTAAAAACCCCAAAATCCCATTAAAAAAAAACCCAAAATCCCCTCAAAAAGCCCCAAAAATCCCATTTAAAAAACCCAAAAATCCCCTCAAAAAGCCCCAAAAATCAAAAAAAAATCCATTTAAAAAACACCAAAATCCCATTAAAAATCGCCCCAAAATCCCCTCAAAAAGCCCCAAAAATCCCAAAAAATCCCATTAAAAAACCCAAAAAAATCCCCACAAAAAGACCCAAAAATTCCTTTCAAATCCCATTAAAAAAACCCCAAAAATCTCCTCAAAAACCCCAAAAATCCCATTAAAAATCCCCCCCAAAATCTCCTCAAAAAGCCCCAAAAATCCCCAAAAATTCCATTAAAAAACACAAAAAAATCCCCTCAAAAAGCCCCAAAAATCCCATTAAAAAAAACACAAAAAATTCTCTTAAAAAACCCAAAAACCCCCCAAAAATTCCATTAAAAAACACAAAAAAATCCTCATAAAAAACCCCAAAACCCCCAAAAATTCCATTGAAAAACCCCAAAAAAATCCCCTAAAAAAACCCCAAAAATTTCCAAAAAAATTCTCTAAAATCCCCCAAATTTCCCCCCCAAAAAACCCTGAAAAACCCACAAAAATCTCATTTTAAAACGCAAAAAAATCCTCAAATCTCCTTCAAAAATTCTTCCTAAAAACCCCCCAAAATCCCTAAAAATTCCCCCAAATTCCCCTTAAAAATTCCATTAAAACCCCCAAAAAATCCCAATTTTCCCCCATTGCCAAAAATAAAAGTGGTGACAATTTTGGAGGATTTTGGGGTTTTTTTTAGGGTTTTTTTTTATGTTTTGTGGGGGATCTTCTGGGGATTTTTAGGGAAAATTTGGGAATTTTGAGTTGGGAAATTTTTGGGGCAGTTTTTGGGATTTAATAAAAAAATCGGGATTTTTTTTTTTGAGGATTTATTGGGAAATTCCGTTGTTTTTATGGGATTTGGGGGAATTTTTGGTTGGTTTTTTTGGGGATTTTTTGGGGGATTTTGGTTGGATTTTTTTGGGATTGATTGGGGATTTTGAGAACGGATTTAAAGAGGAATTTTTTGGGGGAATTTTGGTGAAATTTGGGGATATTTTGGGGTTCGGGGTCCACAAAATATCCCCAAAACCTTCCCGCAGAAATCTGCCTAGCAACAGCTGACGTCACGCAAGAATCGAGCCGTGATTGGCCAACGCGTCTCATGAGTGCCCTCCCCTTCCCGTCCACGCGGGAGCGGCCATTTCCCCTCCGCGTGTCGCCTCCAGACCTGTCTATCCCCTCTTTGTCGCCTCTTTGTCGCCTCTTTGTCGCCTCCTCGCGTGTTTTTACCCCTCTAAAGCCCCCATTTCCCGCCCACGCGTGTTTTTATCCCTTTATAAACAAGTACTACGGCCTTTGTGGCGAATGCCCGTAACAAACATGGCGGCAGCGCCCGTAACCTCGCTACTGCGCATGCGCAACGCTCGGCAATGAGGGCAAGATGGGCAGAAGTTCGGCGCTGTTTAAGGAAAGTGCGCATGCCCTACCGGAAGTGAACCCCTGCTCGCTATATAAGAGGCCGGGAAGCCCCGTAGCGTTCTTTTCGCTGAGTCGGAGACGCCGCCGCTGCCGCCATGTGAGGGGGGGAGCGCGGGAAAAAGCCGGAATTTCCTGGGAAAAATGGGATTTGTGAGGGGAAAAATGGGATTCGTGAGGGAAAAAATGGGATTTGTGAGGGGAAAATAGGGATGGGGAAGGCGGTGAGGTGGGAATTAGGGCGGTGAGGGCCGCGGAAAGGGGGAAAAATGGGGATGGGG